TGAGTCATAGGAAGGAGAGAAGAGGCAGTTTTGGAGCCGGGATTCTGACTATCCCTGCTACCCCACAGAACTCCCGCCGTGGAAAATATGTAAAGCAGCAGACTTTTGAACCTGGCAAGCTAACAATCCATCGGACAACCAACTACAGCGGCTTGGAGTGTTTTTATTTTCACCGCCCATGAGCTGGGTTCTAATAACCGGCCAACACTCTGACAGCGGGTCAGCGACAACAATCAACCTTAACGACTGGGTGTGAAAACATGCTAAGCAGGCAGAGCAGAGACACAAACAGTTATGTTGGCAGGTATTAGATAACTCAAAAAAAATTAAACAGTTTAAATAATATGATATCCATGCTTACATTATAAGTTGATCCATTGGTTTTGAAGGCTTTGAAAATACACAATAACACTTCTCTTTTCATTTTGGAATTAAATAAAGATTGTTTAATAGAATTAAACCTTTTTAGTCGACATTTACACAAAACTATCATGCCCAAATTTACAAAAAAAACATTAAATTTGTCTATTTCCTTTTCATCTAACCTTTTAAAGCCATCTTTAAGAATATAATTTGGAAGATTGATCACCTTTCGTTCGTGTTTTAAATGAATTGAAAATATAGCAATTTAATATTTAAACAGAAAAAAAATCCAAGCAATGATCACATATTTCCCACTGAGCCCTCATTTATCTTTAATTCCAAAGGTGTACTACTTTATGATTTATAACTGCCATCTAGATGTAGCCTAGTAAACTAGCCCCACCCGCCAGCGTCCAAAATCATTTTTGCCAGCGAGTTTGGTCTAGCCTCGATCAATGCTCCAGGCCCTAAATCTGGCGGGCCAATCACTATGCAGAGATGTGTTTTGAATTTCTGGATGCAAAGTGGGCGTGACGACGAAGCTGCACGACGCTGGAGAAAGCACAACAAGGAAGATGGCAACAACTTTTGAATAGTTCTCGTTTGACTCAGCTTTGGAAGGATTAGACTTTTCGTTGAAATGTGAGCAGGAAGAGGCTCTAAGATCATTCAGTTTTTAGAAGAACGTAATCGCTGTTTTACCGACAGGCTGTTTGTTTACACTCCACCAGCTTTCTGTCGCGCTCACTACGTCACAGTCAGTTACGCTAATTGGTCAGAACGTTGGCTAACAGACACAGATATGGTTTAAAAGACAAAGGGCCAGACTAAATTACACATTTAATCTCACATTTAGTTTGGTTTATCAGGCTAATCTAGATGCAAAGATTCTACATTTGCAGCAAAAGGGACCATGGTACACTTCTGTTCTGTGGTCAGAATGGATTTTCTTTTTCACAGAGAGAAATTTAAAAGAAAAAACAAAAAAACCAACCTTCTCTATAGGGGGTGGTAAAACACAGGGGTTACGAAGTCGGTGTGCATTTAATGTCTTCACTCTGAGCTTCAGGGGATGGTGCAGTTTCACTTTATCTTTGCTCAAAGTGAAAGATTTTTCCCTTTGTCTAGATAACTGAACCTAGGAATTAAAAGAAGACACAGAAGTTTAGTAATTGCATCCTTAGCTGGCAATTCTTAACCTTTCAGGATGGAAAAATGAAACAAAAACCAACAAAAAAAACAAAAAAAGTTTGCAGAAGTAATTGATTCATTCAAAAATATTCTCAAATCCAAGTTGGATTAAAACATATACAACATCAGTCAAAATCATATATAGATAGCTGCACTTTAGCAAGCTGCATCTCACAGTGTCAAAATTTTAACTTATTGCACTTAATACAATGAGCATGTTTTGCCTTTGTTTGCCTTTGTTTTTTTAAGTAGACAAGAAATCTTCATAACTGTGATCAGAGTTTTCTGTTTTCCAGGAGCATCATTTTGGTATATTTCACCTTTTTCAAAAACCAGGTGGATTTAACTTTTAGATCACAAGCGTCCAAGTTTCAATTCTATTTGTTAGATTTTAAGAGTAGACAAACTTCTAGCGCTGGTCAGGCCTATGTTAAATCCTACATACAAAAGGATGGGGAAGATTCTGAGTAATCCAGGTTGTAGTCATCCCAAAAAGGTTAAAAAAAAAAAAATCCACTGGACTTTTTTTTCCAAGTTTGAAAACGTTTCGCTTCCCATCCAGGGAGCTTTTTCAATTCAAAATGTCAGAAATAGCATTGAGTTTGAGGCTTTATACAGTAGCCCAACAAAAGCCTTGTTTTAGAAAACATGCAAATTGAAAGGGACGATTTGTTTAGCTTCTTTTGTTAGCCTGCAATGCCCCATACCTGTCTATGTCTCCTATATATATAAAAAAAAAAAAAACTTTCAGGTTTAGTCGAAAATGGCCACTCAAGAGTTAGCAGGCCTTTGCTTTGTGAAGTTTTAGAACTTTCCGACCAGCATTTTGATTTACTCTTGAATTAATTGGGATGTGCATATATTTGAACTTGTAACTTTAAACCTGTTAGGATTAGAGAATATGAACCAAAATTAAAAACGTGTGCGTCAAATTTTCCCTTTATATATTTTACTAAAGCAATGCTTTAAATATAACTTACAACTTCAAATAAAGAAGTTTAAAATAAAATCAGTAAGGGAAAAATAAACAAAAACTATGATGGATGGAAGCTTTATCCATCTCTACACAAAGCTGAGTATCGGTTACCTGATATCCATTTTATATTAATTACCTTGGAGAAAAAGCTGAATGAACGTTGCTGCAATATTTCTGTCACTCTGTCTCTAAGCGTTCCAGGATTGCAGGTAGCCAACTCCTTGCCATCAAGAACATCTGGCTCAGATGGATTAGTCCCTGTAATCTCTATTGCTTTAAAAGCAATTTTGGCTTTCTTCTGCATAATCTGATCGTGTAACTCTTGGAGCTGTCGTTTCTTCCTTATCAATTCAGGATCGTCTTGCTCTAATGGTTTTCCATCTAGATCTGGAGGACTGGGTTCTCTCCAGGCTGCACTCCTGCTCTGAAGTTGAACAGCAGGGTGTACAGGGAAAGTGTCCCAGTCACCAGTCAGCCTTGGGACACTGCTGCTCATTAAAACCCTCTGCTGATCCGGTTCCTGGCGGATCTGCAGCCTTTTAACATGACTCCAGTCATGTGGATTCATCCTCCTGCCTTTCACAGTATTTGAAGACTCTAAAAAGTAAACAAAAAATACACACACACATTAAAACAGTGGAGAAATCACCAACATATACAAACAGAACCAGTTAGGATTTAGCTAACGACACCATAACACTACTATCTGGGATTACGATTACTAAAAATGTGTGGGACCACGATTAATCGAAACCTACAGCAAGAATAAATATTTATTTTATTTAAAATACAAGTAAATGGACGTCATAAATGAAGGAAAGACGCGTTTACAAATAGCTTAGCATCATAGCTTAGCATCGGAGCTAGCAGGTTTACCTTCTCTTAGAAAACCGTCACCTGCTACATCATCAACGATCTTTGTGATCGAAATAAAATCGGACGTTATGAACAAAAGGATGACAATAGGTGGCTAAGCAAACCCCTAAAATACAGGAAAAAACATTAACCGTCTGTAAACTACAATGGAGTAAAGGGGCGCTTTTAGAAGTAAAAATGCTCAATAGCGCCACCTGAGTGCTGGAGGACTATCACTCAAGAACAGAAGGAAATTCTTACTTTAGTTTATATAGATGATATTTTCAATATGAATAAAAACAACTATATAAAGAGCAATGACTGTGTCATAATTTGATAAAAAAGGTGTTGCAGGAAAGGAAAACCAGAATTTACCTTAACCTCCTCCTTGTAATATTGGAAAGTAAAAAAAAAAGCTGCACAGCTACTGAAAAATGAGTTATGACATTAAAATAGTTTACTTTAAAATGAAAATCAGAATAAAACAATGTCTCTAGAGTAATTTTTAAAACACCAAAATATACTATTATTTCAAGCCATTTCAATATAAGTGATTCAAAAATCTCGTTTTCCTCCAGAAACCGTTTCAAATATGAGAATTCAAAAAATAAAAGAGATAATCCACAGAGCTGTAAAAAAAAAAAAAAAAAAAAAAAAAACGTTTTTCAGCAAAGTGAAATGTATTTGACTGATACAAACCAAACCAGACAAAAAAAAGGGTTATTATGACTAACACTGAACCGGCTTTATGCATTAATCAGGCGTGGCAGCTGCCAGGCAGGCCTTAAACTGATTAAACAAGTCAGCAAATTAAATTGTTGTTGTGCTCCTGAACTAAACATGTCTTTTGGCAGGGCATATTAAGCTGCTAAAGGAGGCCAAGGACAACCAAGGAGCTCCCATTTCCATGAAAGAGCTTACACCAATTGAAACACTACTTAGATGGGTGCCATGTCAGAGGAACATCAACATGAGAGGCATGGTCAAAAGCAGCATCTCCATTCCTGTGAGTGATCTGTAGTGACATGTGTTCCCCAGAAACCATTCAAACCACCCAATTTCTCACCAGTTTGCCATTAAACCTTCTTTAACCATATTTCACCGAAATTGATTTGTACAGACAAGGAACTTTCATTAAAGATGGTTTCCCAGCCATAACCCATTTAACTCACCTGCATTCACAGATTTTCCCAATTTTCCTTCAAACATGCCAACTTTAAACCCTTACCGTTTAATTTGCAAGCTAATATATATAAAAAACTAACAGGTTTTATACTATTGTCAGTTATACAGTGTCTCTACATAAAGCCAAAGTATTTCCACATTACCGTAAATTCTGCATGTTTTTAGAATGGCTCTGACTGTGGAAACATTTATAAACAGCAGTTTAGATAAATTATTTGCTAAAAACAATCAGTAACATTTCAACAATTTTACATATTAAATAGAACTTAAAGCAAATGCTTTATTTCTTGTGTTTTGACAACAGAAAAAAACAGAATTGAAAGAAAGTTCAACAAACTGATGGCATTTAAAGAGAACCTTACCAAATATACGACTGTAGTAGCTTTTTATACAACAAAACCCCCCAAATATAAGAGGATTTCCTTTGAAGTTTATTTGGAACTGTCTTTAATATTTTACATTTCCGATTATTAAACATCAGTTAATTACATGTACAGAAATATAAACAAAAATATTTGACAGTCTGCCTTCATGTTAACAAGATGAGGCATGGGTTTACATCTTTTAAACAAATATTGAACAGAAATCAGAGCAGAAATCAGAAGTTACAGATTTTATTTGCTAAACAGATGCAGTTGATTGAGGACCATTTTGATTTGCTACTGCTGGTGTTGGTAAATGTCCAGTGCAAACAGCATTTCCTCAGATGCTCAACGTCATTTCAGGTGGAACATGTGCATTAGAGCACTGACTATTTACTTTATGTTATTAAACTATACAGGCTTATTTATATTCTCCAAAAACATCATTTCAACCTGTTACTGTTTGTTTTGGAAATTCTAAGCAATCAAACAAAAAAAAAGGCTACAAACCATTTATGCTGAGTAAGATGCACTTTATTTAATAACCTGCAAGAAGCGAGGCCTTTCTTTCTTTTTCTCCAGCCTTTCTTTCTTTTTCTCCACTGGGTTCATGGCTTGTTGAGCATGTATGCTTGTTGGATTCAAAAGCTGCGTATGTGGTGGGACCAGCGGTCCAAACTGAGACAGCGGAGGTGGCGGCACAGCTGGAGTGCGGAGCATGTGGGGGTTGCGAGGAAAGAAGTTTCCTGATCCAAAGGGGGGCAAAAAAGGAAGAGGAGGTGGAGGAACGTTGGGGTACGACGGTGGTAAACTGTTGCTGGGAGGATATGGTGGAAATGGTGGCATTGATGGAGGAGGAAGTTGCTTTACTGAGTGGATAGGGTTGAAAGGGAGAGCAGTCGGAGCATTCGGAGTAGGAGGTATCTTCATAGGGCTAGCTCTATTTCCCACACTTCCCTGATCCTCCAGAGAAGACTTTTGATTTAACTCCAAACTGTATCCAGACTGCGGCATGTCCGCTTCCTCCCTCGTGTCTCTCTTTGAATAACAGCTCTGACGTGGTGAGGTAACACTGGGCGTGCTTGGTGATCTACTTCGACATCTCACAGGGTTTGGCTGCTCAACACTTCTTTCCCGACTGAACCTATTCCCACCCTCATTGTCTCTCTTGCCATAGAGACGCTCCTGAATCCGATGAGACATTTGGCCGAGCTCTTCGATTCCCAGATCCATACCAATAGCCTGCAAAACATCTTGCATTTGTTTGTGCTTTTGCAGCTCTTCAGGGGTCATAGTTATCTTTTCCACTGAGGGGGACTTGGCCTCAAAGGAGCCCTCTCTGACAGAGACTTGATTCCCGTTTGGACTGGCGGACCCATGATCCCGCTGCGGAGACAAAGACCTGAGGGATCCCTTACTTTCCTTCCAGCGGCTGTTATCTGCGTACCCTTTCTGTTCCCTCTCTGTGCTACCCGAATACCAACGTTCATCTGAAACTTTCACAAAAGAGCTTGAAGAAATGCGCCCATCAAACTGCGGTTTGGGGCTCTGACTTACTATCTGATTGAGGACGTCAACATTCACGCCCTTGTTGAGTATATCAAGAAAGCGTTGGAAGCCTTTAGACGACTTTTCTTCAGGGCGGGCGGCGCTTTGTGGAGTCCCGTCGCTTTTAAGATACTTATGGGAAACACAGAAGCCACAATTTTAGATGCATGAATCCAACAAATCATTTCAAAACAACACCTACTTGTGATCCCTTTCTAGGCTACATTCAACACAGCAGAAAAACAAATCAAACAAAATAACTTTGGTGTTTAAGGCAATCAAGACAACAAAAAAATTAAATACTTGCATGCAAGTGATCTCAAGCAATAAAAATATATATCCCCACAGAAGTAGTTTCCTTTTTTTCTCCAAGCCTATTTGTGCTGTTCCAATTTAAAGTGCGTCATTTTCAGCGACATCTAATGGTCAGACAAAGGTGACACAAACCGCTCCCCCCCACCGCTTCTCCCCCTCCAACAACACGAAGAATTTTATGGTACAAAGTGGCTTCCGGAACGTCGCCATTACTCATCTTGTCAAGTGATGAAAAGGTTTGTTTACATTGACCCTTTATAAGCAATATTTTATTAGCCTGTGTAGGATATAGATTCTATATAAGGCTAACTTGTCACAGTCACATTCAAGGGGAATATCGATCTCTGCAGTCACTAGTTAGGCCTCTCTGCACTACCGTAGCCCAAAAATGTCTGTCTCCATTAATGCGAGACCCGCTCCTATGTAATTATAAATACCAATATCTAAGACAAAGCAAACATAAAGGTGGAGTTTTAGTCCATAAATCATTATAAATACTAAGGCTGGGTATTTTTGCCAAAGTCCTGAATTGATTCGATTTTGATTCATACAGTTCTAAATCGATTCATTTCAATTAGATCTGTTTATACAATAATGAAAGTGGTTCAATTGTGTTTCAAAATACTCGTGTATTTTATTTTTCCTGTTAAACACAAAGTGCAAACTTGTAAATCGGACAGTTTAAACTTGAGATGTGAACAAAACTGTCTCTAAAGTGCAAACTTGTTTGTGAAAAGTGAAAAGGCCTCACTCGTGCAAACAGACGGGACACAGCAGACATGCATGAGCTGCATAATCTCCACTGCACAAAGCATATTTGCAGCGCTGTCTGTAACAATTACAGGGTGTTTGCTGGTCAGCCTCCATTTGTTAATGTCTTCAATCAACCTATTAGCTATGTTTGCAGCTTTCTGGCTTGAAGTATTTGAAGTGCATGTTTCCTGCTCATTTGAATGTGAACGTCACGCACGTCACTATAAAACTAATTGATCTCATTCCCTAGACATCCATTTCGCAAAAATGTAAAGGAATCGATTCAAAATCGATTTTTTTTTTTACCCAGCCCTAATCAATACCATACTTATGTATAATATATTACATTTCTGTAAGCACATCACTGTAAATATTATAAGAGGGGCTTTAATTCTAAAAGAAACATTTTCTACAGTGAAAAAATAAAAGACAGGTTTTCTGCAGGGTCTTAAAGTAATTCTCCGTACTCTGTCATAATAGTTATTTTGCTTTATTCTAAATGAACTTATTTGTTGTTACCCTTTTGTAATCAACAGGCCAATTGTACATGAAATGCAACATATCAAGTAATAAATCATAAAATTTGATTAGTTGTTATGTGAAAACCAAATGTGTGCTTTTGTAAACTTGAAAGGTTTACACAAAAAGCAATAGAAATATTCTGAAAGTAGAAAACATCAAAAAATAAAAGATGTACCTGTTCTTTGGATCCATTTAGCTGTGCAGAGGCTCTGCTTTCATAATATGTATCATATGTCGATGTAGATCTCATCTCGGCCTGATTCTGTTAGTTATTAAAACACTTTTATTAATCAGATTAACGTAGCCTTAAATGTTATGTCTGTTGAAGCATTACAAGTTTAAAACTAACCTTTGTAGAGTAATCGGGTGAGTGTGTCCTTTCCTGTCCACTCCCATGTCTCCGTTTTGCTTCATAGCGATCAGGAGAATCTGCGTCGCTGAAATCCTCATACTGTCTTTTAGGAGGAAACTCTTCACGGTGACGCACAGATCTTGAATATGGAGACGTTTTCCTGTACCTGACATCATCTTCATGTGACGGTGAATATCTCAACTGTTGGTTCCATGAAGACCTAGATGGTGAGGCCCTGTATGTTTTTTCTGAAGAATCCCGCCTATATCTATAGTTATCCTTATCCTCTGTATTCTTTCGCCTTTGGTCCACTGGCACGTCCCAACTAGATGGGGACAGGCGCCTCCTCTGAGGGCTTCTTCTGCTCCAGTCTCGGTTTGCTGAATCTGAACTGCGCAGCCTCTTAGGAGACCCACTGTAATGTCTACTTTTGCTCGCCCTGTCCGTGCTACTGTGTCCATCTCTGGTGTATTTATGATAGGAGTCCCGAGAGGTACTACTGTGGAGATCATGTCTTTCTCCACGTCTGTCATCATAGTCCTCCCTGTTTCGTCTTGAATTTCTGTCACCGTCCTGCCGCCTGTGGTTGTAGTCAGATCTTCTGGAGTACATCCTCTCACATTTAGAAAACAGCAGCTAAAAAAGGAAAGAGAAAGAAAATTGATAAAGAAATCAGAAAGAGAAGTGCAAGTGGATCAGTTATTGATTTAGATTCTAATAAATTGTATTAAGATATTTAGTCAGAAAAAAAGACTGCTTATAATACAATTTTTCCAAATGTAACGCACTGGTTTCTGCTTTTAACTGCATTGTTGACATAAGTTATTACTCCCTTTCACAAAAAAAGACATTTTTATACAATAACTATCCTGCCCAAAACAGGACATTAAGAAAACAAGAAGAAACAATGTCCACAGCATCAAACACCTCTACTGTGCCTTACATATAAGATTAATTTCCACAAATCCAATTTAGTTTCAAGCCAAACCTTTAGTGAGTCAGTTGCTCTAAGATCATCGATTAGCTCCAGACACAGGAGGCTATTTAGTCCAGCTTAACAAACTGAACATCTTAAAAATAACCAAGCGTTGCCAGGTGATTTTACGTTATTCTTTAAGAACAATAAATATAAAAAAAAAACATCAATGACGAAACCCGTTGTTTCAAATCTAGTATCAATCGAAGCAGATTTCAAAAGGGTTACATTTCTCAAACAGACATTAACTTTAGCGTTGCTCCGTATCCAAGCTAATATGAAGCTAACCGCTCACATGATGAATGTAACATAGCTACAAAAAAAAATGACTGAATATCAGTCAGACACTAAATACCAGAAGTGAACGATGTTATATGTCATCAAAGATGTATTTAGTTCAATTCATTTCAAAATGGTTAGATGAAAGGATATTTCCAGTTTTGTTTATGTCTAGCCTACTTAACGTTAGCTGAATTACCGTTTGTGTCGCAGGGTTCCACTCTTAAAAGAAATTGGATTCCTTTAAAGCTGAATAACAAAGAATGAATTCGATTAAGCAACCGAGTACTTAGTTTTACTTAGCAATTTCTTGCAATAAACGAATGGAATTGAAGGTATGCCATGCAGAAGGCCGTGTAGATCTACCTGTTCTGCACAACACCGCCCCCTCTGGTAGGAGGGTGAATTACTATGGATGGATGGATGGATGGATGGATGGATGGATGGATGGATGGATGGATGGATGGATGGATGGATGGATGGATGGATGGATGGATGGATGGATGGGAGACTATCATGACTAGATCAAATTGGATCATACTATGTTGAACATTATTAATTTGAAAAGGACTGGGCAATTAATACATTTTATCTAATTATCACACGCTCACATGCGTGTGATAATTAGATATATATATATATATATATATATATATATATATATATATATATATATATATATATATATATATATATATATATATAGATAGATAGAGAGAGAGAGAGAGAGAGAGAGAGAGAGAGAGAGAGAGAGAGAGAGAGAGAGAATAGAAAATCTCTTAATCGTCCCACAATGGGGATATTCTGGTGTTTACAGCAGCAAGAGGATGGTTAAAAAAATGTGGGCTTTAAAAAGGTGCATTAGAATAACATAATAGTTAAGAGTTTAAAAAAAATTAACATATGAAATACTTTACTTTAAAGTCATTTAACCTTCCTATGGTGTTAGGGTCCCTACGGACCCGTTTTGAGTTTTAGCATGCATAAAAGTACATCATACATTTGTTTTTTGCATTGAAACTTTTTGACTTTGTCAAGGACTTCCATTTTAACAAAGTAAAATCAAATTTTATTTTTTTACTAAATTATAAAGTGCTCTGGTGAAAAAAATGACTTTTGTGGTGTTCGGGTCATTTGTGACCCGGTTACAATTTTTGATTATAAAACAATAAAAAAAATGCCTAAAATGTAATCATGAACACACAATCAACCAACAGGCTCTTCCTCCAACCACTTGAGCTTAATTTAGGGCCTTTTTGTCTTTGCCTTTTTGCGAAAACAAACAAAGGGAGACATGTCCAGGCTTGTCAAGCCATTTGAGTGTAGAGGTGGTGACTTGAGGAGTACACATCGCCAATTCACAGGATGCAACAATAAGGAGAAGATTCACTGTAAATAAAGCTTTGGATCACATCTTTGCTGCAAATGAGGCAGAGGACACACAGGATTTTAGCGATGGAGATGAGCAGGCCTCTGAGAACCGGCAACAATGTCTCTTTGGACGTTTCAGATGATCTCAAGAGTCCTCAGATTTGACAATCGATACACCAGAGCAAAATCTGACAAGCTTGCTCCCATCAGGGATGTTTGGGAGAGATGGGTGCACCTCCTTCCACTGATGTTCAACCCAGGGCCAGAGGTGACAGTGGATGAACGTTTTCTCCCTTTTTGAGGAAAATGCCCGTTCCAGCAATACATGCACAGTAAGCCAGGCAAATATGGCATAAAAATCTGGGCAGCCTGTGATGCTAAAACAAGCTATGAGTGGAACCTACAGATTTACACAGGAAAATCTGCAAGCGGCATCCCTGTAAAAACCAAGGAAAACGGGTAGTCCTCGATTTGACTACTGGACTGCAGGGTCACAACATCACTTGTGACAATTTTTTTACATGCTATGACCTTGGACAAGAACTTCTCAGGAGGAAACTCACCATGGTGGGCACCATAAAAAAAAAATAAACCTGAGCTGCCCGCTGAAATGTGGCTGGTGAAGGACAGGAGGAGTGGACAATCTGGACAAGCTGACTGCCACCTACAATTGCCAGCGAATGACCAGGAGATGGCCAATGGTTGTGTTTTACAACATCCTCAATAGTGTCTGCATACAATGCATTTGTGTTGTGGACCCATATTCACCAAGGGTGGAATTCAACCCAAAACACTAAGTGGAGAATGTTTCTTGAGGAGCTCGTGAATTCCCTTGTCAAGCCGCACATTGAGCAATGGGAACGGGTGCCCCGAGACCCAGCTACTGCAGACTTGGTCAGACAGCTGCAGTGGTCACCAAACATGCCATCCACATCCACAGCAACAAGAAGAGCATCAGCATCACCTTCCCCCTCTGATGCCAGCCCTGCCTCAAGCACTCCATCCATAGCCACAATGCCAGTGAGACCACCTCGCTCAAAAAGAAAGAGGTGTCAGGTCTGCCCTAGCAATATGGACAGAAAAACCTACATAGTGTGCTTCACCTGCAACAAATATATCTGCAAAGAACACACCAAAAGTGTAAATATACACAAATATAAATATTGTATTCAAGTTCTATTGTGTGGGAAAAAAAGACTTGTTTTTGCCCTTTTTTTGAAGTAAATATATACGGGTCCAAAATGACCCGAAACACCATAGATGTTACTATATTTGATAATATTAAAATTAAAATCTTTTTTTTTTTGTTGAACATTTATGAAATGTGTTTTAATATCTCTCAGTTGCACTCAGGTAACAGAACAACTGATTATTTTGTTGCCTTCTTCTCTTAAGGTTAATTTGACCACTTTTTAGACATTGAAAACGAGGGGTATGCTGCTAAAACAAAGGCCCAGGGGGCCACAAAAAATATTAAAACCAATCTTTTAATAGATAAGGGAGCCCAATCAGCTAAACAAGCGTTAAGAAAAACATTGGATGATGAAAGATTGTTTTTAGGGTATTTTATGGCTGATTTAATACTCGGGTCCAAAATGACCCGCTAACACTACAGATGGCAGCAGAAAGCTAACACAAGAGGAAGGTTAACGATATAAATACTATGCACCTGAAGAAATAATAACCAATATACAGCTATGGACATTTTTTAGTTATTTTTTACAGTTACCGCAGCATGTTATTGAACTAAAACAGAAACTGTGTTTTTATATATATATATATATATATATATATATATATATATATATATATATATATATATATATATATATATATATATATATATATATATATATATATATATATATATATATATATATATATATATATATATATATATATATATATATATATATATATATATATATATATATATATATATATAATTAAAAAAAGTGTGAAACAACAGAAAATATGTCTGATATTCTAAGTTCCTTTTGCTTTGATTACTGCTTCGCACACTCTTGGCATTCTCTTGATGTACTGTGCGTGGAAATAAACTCTGGTAAATTTCTAGCATACGCCGATGTGGTAGGTGGCGCTACGTCCCTAAGGTCATGGTTGCAATCTGCCAGTACGCCAGAAGAAGAAGAAGAAGAAGAAGAAGAAGAAGAAGAAGAAGCTACATAGTTAATTAGCACATAACTACTGATTCAAGGGACCTATTTTTCTCTCGATTTGGCATGTAAAATATCAAGAATATCTAAAACCAAGACTGCATTCCACTGTTCCCATTGTTCTCCCAGTTTTGGCGGCAGCTTTGTGAGAATGAAGGTGAAGATCAGACAGTGGAGTGGAGTGGCCTCCTGGTCCTGGGTGGCTAACGATGACAACTGCGGCATCTGCAGGATGCCTTTCAACGGCTGCTGTCCGGACTGTGAGTATCTGAGCAGGGATCCTGTCCAGGAGTTTAAATTCCCTTTCTACCAGAGCACGTGAGGTAGATAATACTCCTCACGTTCTAAACTATTGGCCTAAACTACCTGACTGTTTATTTAGTTCTCTCTGAATCCTCATTCAAATATTGTTGTATCAGATTCGTGACAACAGCAATGTGAGAAATTGTGCAATAAAAATGCTGTATAATAAAAATAGTAAAGTAGATATAAAAAATAAAAAATCCAGTATAATATTGATAAGCATTTGAATACTTTGACATTCTGGTTTGCTTTGTTTTAAATTTAGAATACACTTCATGGCAGTAACTTTAACTATTTGCTTTATTATTAAAATAAAAGTTTAGGTTAAGATCTGACTTGTAATTTAGTACATGGGTATACCTAGTCATAATTAATGAACTGATACTATAACTGGCACTGACTTGGGTGAAAAGAGGAACAACAGTTATCATCATGTGGTTGCATGTGTGTGTGTGTGTGTGTGTGGATAAACATCTGTTTGTAAATTAATAAATACATGCCTGCCATTTATATAACCCACAGCAACAGGCTTTATATGTAACATGGGGCTAGATGTTGAAAGTGATTGATTTTTGTTCTACATATTTTTGCAGGTAAAGTTCCTGGAGATGACTGCCCGCTGGTCTGGGGTCAGTGCTCTCACTGTTTCCACATGCACTGCATCCTGAAGTGGTTGAACTCACAGCAGGTCCAGCAACAGTGCCCCATGTGTCGTCAGGAATGGAAGTTTAAAGAGTGACTCCCTCTCTGTGCACCAAAAAATGGACGCCTTACAGAACCTTTTTTGTTTACCACTGTATCGGAGTTTGATTTTGTTTATAATAGTTGTATTTTTGGTTTCATTTGTTGGAGAAAAAAAGTCTTTAAATACAGAATGTGTTTTTTATAACAATATGATTTGGATAAAAGGATTAATTGGTGTTTGCTGTCTGTGGAAAACCTGTTTTATATTTAATTATTCAGACAAAGACCTTTTTTAGGATATGTTTTGTAAGTATGTGAGGAAAATTAGCTTCAGTTTTCAAGTTTCTTTTTTTTTTTAAATCAGACCCAAATCCCAATATCAATTCTTGTAGTTTCTTAGTTCTACTCTGGCATTCTCATACAGTTTTAATAATGCAAATATATATTTTTTTTATTAAACTGATACTGAAAATTAAAAAAGTAAGGAATTTGGCACAATCACGGTATTTGACTGTATTATCAAACAGTGACTCACTGGGCTTCCTCATTTGGTCTTTGCTACAAAGCAAACAGTTCAGTCCATGAACACCATTGAGAGGACAGCTGCTGAGATACAGAGAAGTGACAAAAGACAAATGATTGTGTTAGTTGTATCAATTTAGACAATAAATGAACAAGCATTCAGTTAATGCTCAGGTTTGATAAGGCTGATAAAATCCCAACTGAGCAGACCAAAGGCTTACTAAAGCTGATTACACAGCAAAGAAAAGGTTAAAAGGCATACAGCACATGTTACAAAAGGCCCTGGAACCAAATAACTCAGGCTGGAACTGATGAAAAATGTTTAGAATTAAAAAAAAAAAAAATTAAATAAAAAAAGACAGAAACAAGAAATTAGGATTTTTATAATTTTAGGGTTTGCAGTTTATTTAGTCCAGTTCAATTTAAACCTATTATCTTTTGTAAATAATGTGTTGAAAGAATAAGGATGTCTTTTAGGTTTGAAATCTTGTCACTAGATGTCGCTGTTGCCCATTTTTCTTTTGTCATGAAGCACTAATCACCTCTCATATTCAAGAACAATGAGTATTAACTGAAAATACTTCTGATTATAAAAAATATATTCTTTGTTCCTGTTGTCATGCAAATAAGCATCCATTCAAAGTTCTGTTGTTTTTTGGTACATTTTTTTGTCTTTGAGAGCATAAAATTGTGTACCCCAGAGTTTGCATGCCCTTTAGAATAAGGGTAAACATCTCTTTAAAGTTAGCTACAATTACCAAAGTTATATTTTTGAAATGGCAGAATAAGGATAACACATTTTTATTTTCTAATACTTTATTCAATGTTTACATATAAGATGAATTTCCACAAATCCAATTTAGTTTCAAGCCAAACCTTTAGTGAGTCAGTTGCTCAAAAGATCATCGATTAGCTCCAGACACAGGAGGCTATTTAGTCTTGTTTTTTAATTTACCACATTTGAGTTACCTGAATACACATCTGTGGATGCAATTAAAGATAACACGTTGCATAACAGGTGGCATAGTAAAAAAAGAACATTATGTGGAAATTAATAAGTAATATGGCTAAATATCAGCCAGGACGTTAAAGCTTAGACACAAGTTTGATCTTAATTGAAGGTGACCAAAAGCATACCTACAAATTATTAACAAAGTGAATTAGAGACATTAAAGCCATTTTTTTGGAGTGGCCATCCCATTCCCATCTGGTTGGTTGGACAACAATTACAGATAAAGGATTCACAAGATAAAGGATTTAATGTTTTATTTGGAAACACTTTCACATACCTTTGCAGACTGCAGGGTCTGAAAATTCAACACCACACAGAACAGAGCCGAGCCTTTACCGTTATACCGATGGTCTCTGTTGGCCTCTGACTTTTTCCATAGTATGTTCCTGTATGCAGGAGGAGATGCTGAAAATCTTAGCAAAGCCTCCGTTTGCCTCACCATCAGAAGTGTTGAAGGATAAATGCACACCTTTATAACCTTTCCCAAAGGTCTGTCCTTGATCCATACTTGATGAATAAGGCTACACATCACAATAGAAACTTTGGAGCAGGTGGGCTACTTGTTTTCATTTATTCGATGCAGGATTTCTCTAAGATAAAATGTCCCCCTGCACTACAAAAAAAAAAAAAAATTAAACCTAAGTAAGTAAATTTTTCTTAAAGCAAGTTTATTACTTCTTGAATTGAGCAGATATGAGTGTCACTTTTCCCATGGATTAAGACAATTCACATTTAAAATAAGAAAAAAGAACTGCAGTCTCTTATCTGAAGTGCATAAAAACTAATTATCATATTTTAAATGTAAAAATACTTATTCCATTGGCAGATAATCTCAGTTCCCTACTCAAATTAAGGGTAAATACACTTATTTTAAGAAATCTTTACTCATTTTCAGAACGTTTTTACAGTGTGGAGCACATCAATTTATGACAGAAAATCTCAATGTTCTGGTAAGAGTGAATTATGCATAGGCCTGCCTGTGGATTACATTACCTTAACACATTTCTTCACACTGTGTAACTGACTGCATCTTTTATCAACAAGGGGCAAAGTGGCAAGCCTCCGGGCATGACCCCCAAACCTGTTCCTCCCTGGATCCCGTCTAAAGTAGGCCTTCCTTTCTTTCAATTAAAGGCCAGATTTTCTGCTGAAGTGAATTCTGGGAATAATAGAATGTTCTTACAAAGAACAATATATGAAAAATAGCTGTTGATTGACAATGAGTTAAATGCCAGATGCTGTTTATGATAAACATAGTGATCCGCAATGTTAACATAAATATTAATCTTGAGATACATTAAGAGCCTCCACTGGTCCCTTTTAACTTAATAGTTGTTCATTTGAGAAAGATGAAACCTCATATAATGTGGTGTTTTTGATTAAGAGAACTGGTTAGGAAGTTTGTATTTTAGGCTATCAGGCATTTTCTTAAACTGTTAGTGTTTGCTAAATCAACAACCCATTATTAGTCTAGAAGAAAGAATAAGCTTGATGATTACACCTGGCTTGAGGTAGCTGCACCCCAGGAGCCTGGCTAAGCATTTGTGGAACGCATGAAGCCAGGTTGCACTACTCAGGGTAGGTCAAGCCTGACTTTACCTCTTATCCTGGATTTTCTGAATTCAGCTTTTGTGAAATAAGAGCAGTCACGAAAAGGTCCGCAATAAAAAAAAAAAAAAAAAAAACAGGCAACAATCGGCTTTTTCCAGAGCTCTGTATGTTTCCCTTTTGTAACGATCTTGGTTCTGTTGGTTTTCTCTAAGTTTTCAGTTTCTGTCACGATTTGTTTGAAGGTTTTTTTCAGGACCCAAATGCAGAGGCTGAGAGGCAGTGGTGAGCTCTTTGAAGATTTAATGGGATACACAGGCAGCAAAAACAGGGTTCCAAAAAATCCAACTTAAAAATGTTAAACAAAAACAGGTATCCAAAAATCCAACATAAAAATAAAACACAAACCAGAACCATGGAGACATCAGGGGAAAACCATCACAAGGAGCCAGGGTGAGACAAAGTAAGACGAGGAACCGGCACTGAGGGACTGCAGAGGGAGTGTGTTTATGGCTGACTGAACAAAGGCAGGACTAACAAGCTGATAAGGAGCAGGTGTGAGTAGAGGTGACAAGGAAGCCAAGGGAAAAGGAAACACAAGGGGACAACAGAGGACAAGGAAAGAAAAACCTAAGAAACTTAAATAAATCCAGAACACACCAATAAAGCTAGAAAACAAAGAAAAACATAGGCCTGCTATGGATAAAGATGAATTGGTTTGTATTTCCAATACAATAGAGGGCATGAAAGCAGCTTTACAAAAAACCCACATTAAAATTCTCCTCTCAATATTCTACAATTAAGTAGACACTACCACAGATTAGGGGTATGTGTGTGTGATAAGCTTAAAAATGCATTGACAAAGATAGGCAAGCTGCTATATAAGTTATTTTACAATTGTCAGTCAACAACCAACTAATACAACAAAAAAACAGAACAAATGTCTAATCAAACTACATCCTGCACAAAAGGATTGTGGGCTGGATAGGGCTCTTTAAAATAAAATAAAAAAGTTAGACCAAAAAAAGTTCCTCTTGTTAACTGCAACTATTTTCATCACTTTAGTGAAGCAGATACTTTAGAAAACTCTCACAACCAGTAAATTTGGGTGTCCGTTCTTGGCAGAAAGATCATCTTCTTGTTACATAGTAAATATGATTTTTCCTCTTGAAGCAGCCACACTTAAAACAGGGACAAAACCAACCTTTAGACCAAATATCAATACAATAATTCTTTAGCCTTCTTGGCACCAAATACTACAGCAAAAACCTCACCTTTAACATGATTATGATCATGATCAGGAGAAGAAATCCCAGTACTGCTGCAGTCATAATGATCACCAATCTATTCGGCGGCACAGTGAACTCAACCAGAACACTACCCTGTTAGCAGAGGGAGAGAAAAGCAGTTATGCCTTACAAATAAACCATTAATTTGTATTTGAAAATAGCTACCAAGAAGAGTTTTACATACTTTTTTCTTTGTTTTGTTGTTGTCAGTCTGGTTCTTCTTCTGAAACCAAAACTAAGATTATAATTACCTTCATTATCTTTAACTTGGTATAACAGCAGTTCAACTAATACATACCTCATGTTTGGGAGAATCCAGCACGTATCTACCAGAATCATAGTCAATTTGTATAAAGCTCATAAAATTGACCCCTCCCTCTACTCCTGTATATCGTTTCAGAATGGGCATATCCTTTAAAGCAAAAGCAGGACAGTTAAAGGACATTTTTTTTTAGATATGTGGGGTGCATTTTGTCTTAACTTGGAGCAGTACATACTGGTAAATAGTTGTTAAGATTTCCGTAATGTACATCTCCTTCCAAGGAAAAGTGAACGTCTGAATATTTCTTCAAAGTAAAAGTATTACATTCCATGGTAACACAATCTTTTCCCTGAGGGCAGTTCTGCAACAAGACAGATCCTCATGTCACCCAGTGATTAATCCATATTATGATTACAGGTTTTAAGCCTGAATCTGTGACACTAACCTCAGACTTTTGGGTGGAAATGATTGAGCACGCAGTTTTGTTCTTAAAAACAATAAAAATATATTAAAAGCTTGCATGTAAGACACACAACAGGAGATGAAATAAGAAAAATTGTGGTATTAAGTGAAATTACCGGCTTGACAACAACTCTATAGTT